GATAAAATTTTAGAAATGGAATTGGTTTTGAGTCTGAAGATGCTGGTTCTTCCTCCCCCAGCATCTCTGCCTAACGTTACTTCAATGAGAAAGGCACAGGGAATAGTCAAACACTTTGCAAAAGAACACAGACATTTGAATTTAATAAATTATAAAATTAAAGATTCTAATTTGTATATACATTTTTAATATACAAGAAATGGCTATTTATTGCAATTTCTGTTAAGGCATATGTAAGTGAATGGAAGTTGCATATAGATATTCAGACGAACATAACTAATACTGTGCATTGTAGGTGAGTAAATAAGACATTAAATGCATTACGTAATAAAATAAAACATAAAACCCTTTGAGTACTGGTAAAGCACCATTTCTAGAATTCTCAAAATATCTGAAAGCATTCTATGGAGATGTTGTGAGACTCTAAATATTGAATGGATATATGAATATAAAAAGTGATGCATTCATAATAGATTACAGAATTTTTTAAAGGAATGTTGGTGAAAAAAATGACAGTAGAATGGAGCCAAAGGAACCGGAATTGGTTTGGGATTTTTTTTTTTCCTTCATGAGGGACTGTCACTTGGATTTTAAGTTTAGACCAACAGAAAAATGACGACTTAGAAAGCTGTGTACTTGCATGGTTGGATCACAAAATGCATTGCTTAATGGGAGCACATTGCTTTAGCTCTCAGCTCTCTGAGATGGTCTCTGCAGGAATATATTCACTTATAAATCTGCTTTAGTTTCTGGGGATTAGGTTACATTAAAATACCACCCTCTGCTCATTATGTCTCAAAATGCAGCACCTGGGCAACAGCAAAACGGTTACAGAAGACACACTACGATGATGCTCTTGCCCAATAACAGCATTGTAGAAAAGAGCAAACAGTTGTCAAAGTTCAACCAACCAAAAAAATGACCAAAATTTCCACTGCATGACAAGGAACAAAGATCAGCTGAGAGCAAAACCCCATCTATTGCCTTGGGCTGCTTTTTCTTTATCAATAGAGCTCTGCTCTGTGTTTCCCAGTAGAAGTGAGGTGCACGCTCTCAGGAAACCACCATCATGGGGAACTGCTGAAAAAAGTACCTTCTGAAAAATTCATGCCAGCTTGAAAAGAAGGCATCTTTCCTGGTCTGAAGAGACTTTTTTTTTTCCCCTCTCGTACAGCAAGACTCTAAAGAGAAGGCAGCTGGTGGCTCTGCTCCATAAGGAGATGGACCAGTCTGTATCCATCAGTGTCTCACTGTCTTGAGCAATCTAGACTGAAGCTGCTCCTTCAAATATCGTTTCAGTGTTCCCCAAGTAACAGCTAGGGAAATATTCAGTAGAATTAAACTCAGCGAGAAATAAATCAAATTAAAGCTCCCAAAAGGTGAGACTGAGAAGGGAGCAGCCCTTCCTAAATGCAGATGCCACTAGGCATTGCATCAGGTCCCTAATGAACACTAGACCTAGTGTAGCACCACAACAGCTTTCTGGAAGGCTGCTCCTGCTCCAAGATGCGGAAGTTGTTTCCACCTTATCTGGAAAAATGCTTTTGGTTTGATAGCGAACTCACTCTGGAGAAAGAACAAAGCGGTCAAGTGTCTGAACTTTGAACCAGCTTTGCAAGTTCAGCCAGGGTTTCCATGCCACGCATGAGTGAGCGAACCCCTGCGAATTGACCTTGCGCAGCCTACAGCAGTCCTGGCCACTGGGAGACACAGCTGGAAACGCTCAGCACAGAACCACCGAGACCTTTTTAAACGTTGGGCCTCCGCACTGGAACAGGCCTTTCCTCGTGCTGCTGGCAGAAAGGTCACTTGAAGTTGCACCAAATCGATTCCTGCCCCACCTGCTATTGGGACACAACCAAGTCCTTTGGACAGAAGAGGCTATTTGTAAGACAGCATTTGAGCTGTGGACACTTCCTCCTGTGGCATTTCTTCACGTTGCCTGGTTGACTAAGCCTATTCCTGATCCTAAGGAAGAACAGAAGCTATTAGATGGGTTATGTCAAGCTTCTGGAGATCAGAGAAATGGGTCTCCACAAAGTCCCAGAGACTGGGACCATCCAGGCAGCAAACTTCTACCTCACCACCTGCGTGACTTCAAGCCCCAACCCCTCTCTACCCTTGTGTGGGTTTGTGAGGGGTTTTCATAAGTTTATCGTATGCTTGGCTGTGCTTCTAGGCTATGAAAAAGCTGGGGGTTGTGGTTTATTTTTGTTGGCCACAGAGCTAAAAGCAGGATAATAACTTATATGGGAAACGATGAGTTTCACACTAACCACATCTGTGTAAAGGACATGTGGAAGGCAAGAAATACTCACTATGTCTACAGGCTGGGAGCCCAGCTACAGCTTGTGTCTCCCATGGCACAGCAGCTGGAATGATGTTGATTTAGACACATCTTCCTTGCTTATAAATAGCATGGTGGGTTTTCTTCCCTTCAGTGCTCATTACTACATTGCTGTTTTGTACAGATGTGATTTGACCCTACGCTGTTTCTAAAACTTGTCCTGCCTGTAGGCAGCCACAAATCCCTCGGCACAAGGCTCCTGGGGCCAGCGCCGGGCTTGCCCGTGCATGGTGGCTCTGTAACGGCAGGCAGGCCAGGGAGCAGGGCTGGGCTGAGCGAAGGTTGCCACGTGGGCAACTAAAGATAAGCAACCTTTGACTGCAGGAAAATGGTTAGTGTCTCACAAGTTAATGTCTGAGGTGAGACTCCTGCCACTGCCCCAGCCAACCGCTGCTCAATGCTGCCAAACTGTGGAGCTTTAGTTTTACTTTTCAAAACCAGAACAGATTGCTTTGTTGCTTGCACTGGCTGCTGCTTTCACATCTGCAGCCACATCTACTTGGCCCAGGAGATGTTTCCTAGTGCTCTGGACTTTTACCAGGCCCGTTATGCTTCCCTGTCTTCATGGTCTTCAGTGTAACTCCCACCCCTGTACCATCTGAGCTGGTCCTAAACACTCACCCAAGTGCATCACCCCGGTCCTCTGTAAGAAAGGACGCTTTATGCCATCACACCAGCTGAAAACATTCCTTCTCTGCTTTGGCCTAGTATCTCCATAAAGTATTTTTCTTATACCAGGTCTTGTCCTTCAAAGACTTCTGGCCACAGTTCAGGCCAGAACAGTTCAACATCTCAGTCCTGCAAAGACTGCTGGTCCTGCAGGCTCTCACCTCCTTTCCAGCAAGACTCGCTTGGTCTGAAGAGGAGACTGGGCAGCTCATTCAGCTGTGGTGGTCGAGGGCAGGAGGCAGGGTTGCAGGAAGCCACATGTGGTTCACCTTGCAATACTTCTGAAGCTCTTTGCCAGCAGCCGGGCCACAGAAGAGCTCACACATTGCTGGAAACTCAGCACATTTCCAATAATTATGTGACTGTATATCCAGGCTTATTACTGGCGCTGCTTCAAACTAAGACCAGCTCAGGCTGGAGGATGAAATCTTACTCTCAGACTGGAAAATCTGAACTAGGAGCCATCAGACCTACCTAATGGTAAAAGGAGGATTTCAGGGAAGCCCTGGTCTCTGCAGGAGGTTTACCAGCAAAGAGAAAACAAATGGAAGAGTCCAAGCCAGGAGACAGGAGAAAAACTGCTCAGATGCCACCCGCAGCAGGAACCAGTGCATGCTGGTCTCTGCAGGAGGTTTACCAGCAAAGAGAAAACAAATGGAAGAGTCCAAGCCAGGAGACAGGAGAAAAACTGCTCAGATGCCACCCGCAGCAGGAACCCCGTCTCTGCGGTGTCAGAGCCAAGCTGAATTCATCTTCTGATCTCCAACCAGGAATTCAAAATGACCTATGAAAACCATGATGACCCTGAGGGGAAAGGAAGTACTCAAAGGGTTGTCAGGTTACACATCTTAAAGTTTCTAGCAGACCTGGTACTGTGAGTACATGTGTGTGTGTGTCTGTGTGTGGATGTATGTGTATATAAGGGCACAGCAGACAATTGTTCACTTCTGCACCAATAAAGTTGTCCTAAAAAAAGGAAGATAATACAAAATTATTTCCTCCAAAATAACGTCATCCCATGGGAGAAAAAAATGTTTTCTTAACAAAGCACCAAAGAAAAGGCAACAAGAATCCAGTCATCTTTAAGTTAAACAGTATGTGGGTAGAAAAAAAATCAGACCAATAAAAAAAGCACCAACCAACAAAGATCACTGAGGCTGTTGCATTACAGGAACTTAAAGACTATCAAAAATATGGTAATTGTAAACAGAAAGCCTAGGATGTTGTCAGTCCAAGTTGGCTGGATCTACCCTACTAAATGTCTTGCATGTATTCAAAAGTTTTGGAGAATCCTTTGAAATTGTTTATGGAAATATGTAAACTACTGTTTGCCAGGTTTTAATTTACACATAAATATATGGCTACAGAATTCTCTCTATATTTTCTTACACAGTCCCAGTTAAGAAAGCTATGTAAGCACATGCCTAGCTGTAACCACAGGAGCAGCTCTACAGAAGTCAGCTAAACTTAGTCTGGCATGTCCTTAAGTACCTTCCTGAACCGGGGACTGAGTTAGTGCCCAGGTTTATGCAATGCACAGAAGCATCACAGGATTGCTGACCACCTGCTTGTCAGTGTTAAAGGGATTTATTATGTCTTGGGACTGTTTTCCTCCATCCTAAGTGTAACTCCCATTACTATTCCCAAGCAGTTTTACACAGGCATAGAAGACTTAAAAGAGCCCATAAACAAGAAACCTGCTAACCTGGCCTAGGTATTACGGTTTGTTTGGATTCAGTGAAACTCTGTTATGATATTGCACTAATACTCCACCGTACCCTGTAAACCTAGCCGTCAAAGTGTACAGATTAGCACTTATGAAACAATCTGTCATTTCCATTTATAGTAGGCTTTAGAATTTGGCATCTCTGCCATAGCACCACTTTGATTTTTTCCCCATTTTTAGTCTCTACAACATGGGCAATACTATGATGTTGGTAACATCTCTATAAGAGAAAAACGTTGTTTGTGTCATATTTCCATTTTAGTTTATTTTCCTAAGAGTCTCTTTTTTCCTTTTCTCAGCAATCAGCTCCTGAATTCTTTGATTCCTTGTCCTTTCATAAGGTATCCTCCTCCGTGTAATGATGTTGTGCTGTGATACTTCGTTATCCAACCCATCGATTTTATAGGGAACATCCACCGCATTGATTTCTGGGTGCTCCTCAGTTGCATTGGAAGGAGGTGCACGTGTTTTGGAAACAAGAGGAGGGCTGGTGGCAGACTGTGTGGTGGACACTCCCGTGGGAGGGCTGAGGGTTGTCAGGAGCTCCTCCTCAATGACATTATTCTTATTTACGTTAGAATCGGTTACATTGTCATCCTCTGTTATGTTGCTGTACATATTACAGGACTTGCAACACAGCTTATTGTAACCGGGAATCGAGCAGTAACGAGAGAGAACCTCCATGCGACAAAACATTGACTTGTCTCCTTGACAATGATCTTCTGAAAGAGAAAAAGGGAACAGATAAATAAAGAGCATCTCCACATTAGTCAGAAAAAGAAACACAGCTGAAGCTTTGGCAGTGGGCAGAGGGTTTGGTATTTAAAGTGGGATGGGAAACTGGCAAACGAGCCTTCTATAAGCAGAAGCAGGCTTAATATTAAACCTAAAACTCAACTCACTTTAAGGGATGCAAAAGCTGATCTGAACTGTTTGTACCAGCCCCATCCACGCTACAGACAGTAACACCGTAAGTTTTGGCTTCGCATTCTGGAAGTGCTACCCTGAAGACTGTGCAGCCACGATGAATTGCATTCCTGCCTTGGCTTAGAGTTCAAAACACACCAATAGTGCTGTGTTGTTGCTAAAGCTACATGAAACCCCCAGAAAGTCATCAAGGTTTATATTCAGAAATCTTTTTTTCCCGCCTTCGCTCCTTTTAATGCTTTTCTGCAATCTAACAGTGACTAACCACGGTCAGGGGTAATATATATTTATCTGGACTGTCTCAAGAAAATCAAATCTTATTTTGACGTGTACCATGTAACACTCAGAATTAATCCATCTCCCATTGGAGTGATATTTTTGCCAGGTACCTCTATTCTGAAAACAGCAGCATTGCCTGAGCATGTCCCTTGCTCGAGAGAAAAGTGGTGCATTTAGCATAAGGCTTTTCTCCTCCTCCTAGAAAGGAGCTGATATTTTCAGAACAACAAACTCCAGTGCGATGGAGCCAAGCCAGTCCATTAATGACTGGGAGACTCAGTAACAAGTCCTGATTTTTGTGTCACTGACTGGAAAACTATAATAAAAGAGAAAGAACGATAATTGATAGGTTTTAAGCTGTCGATAGCTGTTATGACAATCTGTACTATAACAGAGGTGCTACAGCAGATCCTGATCTTGCTGAAATACGGGTGGCAAAATGTAGGCTAAGGCATTAAAGGTGAACTAGTCAAACTGTATTACTGTCTGAGAAACATAAACAGAAGCCTACTCGGAGATGACTCAAGCCCTTGTGATTTCAGCTTAGAGGAGGCAGAGGACCAGATGAACTGGTGGCGGATAGATGGTGAGGGGTTAGCAGGCTCCTTGGAGAGAAAGCTACCTGTCCTCTGTCCTACATACACGCTCTACAGCTCCTGCGCCTCCAGGCTGAAGTGATGGAGCCAGGAACTATCGGGAACTGCGGTGAAGGAAAAATCCTAATACGCAGCCAGTGCTGAAAGAAAGAGGAGTCAGAGGGCTTGTAGGAGAGGAGAGGGCTGAGGAGAAAGGCAGCCTGACCAACACTTGGCATAATCAGTAACAAAATATTTTCTCTGTGACCAGAGTGCTGAGACAGAGATGAAATCACTTCTGCCTCTCTCCCTGCTCTTACTACATCTCCACCTACTCTTACAGTAAAGGATGAGTAACTCCGATTACTCGCCTTTATTTAGAGCGTACCCGATGGCAGACAGCGTGCTCAAGTCAGCGTGTTACTGGAGCTCGTATTTCACCATCCTGCTACGAACACTGACTTACCCTGTCAGCAACCTTACAGCAAAGTAGAGAACCAGAGCAGATTCAGAGATATCAAGTGAACTCAGAAAGTGAAGGTGTCGCCTCTTCACTCATCCTCAGTTAACAAAATAGGGCATTATAGGTGTTTAATTGGCAAACATATCAGTCTAAAATAAACTAACACTGTTGTGGCTGCTTTAAAATGCTAGTGCCGGCTGAGGAAGGTGGAAACACCTTCCTTGCATTGTATTTATGCCCCGATTGTTGTATTTGTTGCAGAAAAGCGAAATTCTGGTTCCTATTTTCAAATGCATCAATTCATTTTCATATTTTTCAAATGCTAAACTGAGATGCTGCTGAAAATAAAGAACAACTTCTTCCTTAGGAACCTAAGAATAGTACCTTGGTTTTGGAGACATTTTCAAACCAGTCTTTAAGAGCTGGAACTGTTCACACCTGCATGCACAACTCTATACAAAGGACTGCATGTGCCTATACAGCTTTGTATATATTTTTACATACCACGTAGAATCCCCTTTGAACATTTTGCCTTGTGTTCCATGACCTTAATGCAAGCTTCTCCAAATGGCTTGCAAAATAAAAGCCAACAGATAATACATTTAAATGTAGTTTCAACAAGGCAGATCTGTTCTTGGCTTTGTAAGAATCATTAAAAGCACCTTTAGAAAAATGCCTTTTTTTCCTATCAAAAATATGTAATGTCAAGCTTAAAAATAAATGAAAATAAAACTGCATTATGTAATATGTTTAGTGACATCTGATAAGTTATAAACTCTGTAACTTATGAATGTCAGAATGAAATTTTTATCCTCTATCCAAACCAAAATATCCAGATTTGCGGAACTTTTATTTATTTTTACTTGCAGTATGCATGACAGACTGGAAGTATATCTTCAAAACATCAGTAAGAAAAAAATAAATCAGTTTCACAGTCACTTTGGTACACATTAGTCTCATAAAAAGATATTGAAAAGCAAACTGAATTGGCACATCTTTAATATTATGTTAAATACATACAAAACACTAATAAAATATCCCTGATAAACCAAAGTGCATATAGACATAGTGCACAATGCCCAGATACCTTATTGCACCATTCTCTATAGCCACCCATCTCTTGAAACATCACTAAACATTGTCTATTTAAAGGTAACAGTCATGAATATATTTATACAGTTAAACACCAATTATTTTACATAACAGTATTCAGTGCCAGATACGTGTCTTTGCTTTTTCACCTTGTCATGTAAATTGTTAACATGTTTCAGGAAATTATCATATTAACAGCAAAATTTAAATATGTGATCACATGATAATGACAAGTTTGAAGTGCTACACTGTTGACAACCCAAAGATTCAAAAATGCCACTTTTCCAAAGAATATGATCAATGCAATAAGGTAGTAATTTGCTCTAAGACTGCGGTTTTAAAGTTGATACGCTTCTACTATTGGTACTGACTGTCACAAACAGGTTTATGACGTGTGAATTCCAAATCTTCAACACAAACACGGAAGGTGAAGCAAGAATGCCAGTTAAATTTCAGTAAGTCAGGTCACAATCCTGTCTTGATGAAGATATGGATATGCACTGTGCAAATTAACCTCGGACTAAATTTACTGCCTTCTAACAGTTATCATTCAAGTAAAAACACTCCATATGAAGATTAACTCAAGGTACCAGTGTACTGTTTATATTTAAAGCTGGATCTGGTAAATTAATGCCATTTACATTTCAACATTAAGGCATTTTTCTAAAATTCTTCTTCTAAGCAAAAAAAGCAATAAAAATTGAGGTAATTCTGTAGTAGTTCACACTGTTATGTTTGCCAGTTGACACATCTATAGAGCATACACACACACGCACACATACAACCGTACCAGTCAAGTCAGACATGCACATGGTGAAAAAAGACCAAAGATGTAATGCGTATAAACAGCTCCGTGCTGAGCAGCTGGAGACATTGTAGTCGATGAAAACATCGTATTGCCTCCGCCAGGTTAAGAAAAACACCACCACGCAACCTTCAACATGGACCATGCCTGTTCTGCTTCGGTTTTGTTTCTAAAGTCAAAGTACACAAAACTGGCAAAAATTGTGCGACGGGAAAAATGAATGCAGCTTTTCTCAAGGAAAAATATTTCAAACCACCACCAAGAGTTTGGCAAGAGCAGACGGTGTCATAGCAGCATGGAAAGTACCGACAGAAACTGAGCTTCTGCTTCCCAGTGAGCCCTCCGCAGGTTACAAACATAAATGAGAGGGTCAGGAATACAAAATGAGCAGCAAGGGTGAGTAAAGCAACGGCACCGCAACGGAAAATGGAATGAAAAAATTCTTTCACTCATCAGACTACCCTGTCAGCGAACTGAAACTAGAGAGTTATGAGATTTAGGTTTTTAGATAAAGGAGAACTTTAGCACTACAAGGTGTCATTATTGTGATGTGATCACATTCACAATAAGTTCTCAGTTTTGCTATCAAACTGAACATCATGAACCAGTAAGAGCCTTTTTTCACCATCACCAAGCAACAAGCAAACCGATCCCAGCTCCCTTTCAGAGGACTGCAACATACTGTGGAGATCCAACTTCACACATCCAACACTTCAAGACCTCTACCACCAGGGCTACGCAAGCTCCAGAGAAGAAAGACACCGAGCACCAAGTGCCTGGTGTGAAAAAAAGATTCAGCCCAAGATTTAAACTTGGCAAAGTCAAGGGAACTTTCCGCATAGAGAGAAGAAGAGAGCAAAAGGCAAAGTCCACATTCGATGTGGCATGCATTTAAGGGCAAAGGCAGAGTTATAAATGGGTCTTTTACTTGAAGATATTTTCTGGATGGGGTAGTCTGGATCAGGTCTTGACAGCCATTGTATCATGTAGGTTTTCTTTGAAGGATCAGAAACGTTTCCTTGAATAGAGGAAAAAAAAGATGTAACACAACATATGTTAGCATTAAGTAGTTGACCTGTCACGAATGGATAAGCTAAGAGAGTGAGTGGGCTCCGATGGTGAAGGAGCCTGGGGGGGGATTATGACCAGGCTGTAGTTTTGGGCAGAGGGTATTTTGCCAGTTTGCTACAACTTGTGCCCAGCACTTGACAGCCAACACTGAAGACAGCCTGAAGGCCAGTTCTCCAGCAGTACTTCTCACAGCAGCATTAAGTATGTCCTAAGATACATCCAGTCTAGTTTAGTTATACTGCCTCTTTAAAATCTTTGTATTGGAGACCATAATTGACAGCTTGTTTCTAATTAGTTAGGAATCAAAAGCTACCCTGAGAAATACATCAGGAATAAACGAAAAATACGAATTACTTAATAATAGGAGTATGTAAAATGATTTCACAAGTATCATTTGCAATCAGCTGAAAAGCTAACAAGGATAAAGGTATTAGTGTCCTGGATTAAGTAGGAACAAATTCATTATAGCTTAAAAAAATTGAGCTAGATAACTCCTGAAGATAACTTGTGCTTGACAGCATGGAAAAGAAGCCTGGACTGTTGCTGGAGGTGGGTAAAGCAAAGAGGCATCTTCATACATGATGCCCTTGATTAGCCACAACCCAGTAGCCTCTTGCCAAGCCCAGAACGTCTCAGGTGCGCAGGGCCAGATTCAGGCAGTGCTTCTCACCCAGGGGAGCTGTCGTCTGCTGGCCGGATCCAGCCATCACCGCTGTGCTGAGGTCTGCCCCAGCCTCTCATGCTGTCCTGGGGCAATTGGTGCTCCCCACCGTGAGAAGAGAACAACCACGTGCCCAAGAAGCCCGCTGGCCACACAACAGCTCTACATTTGGAAAGTCTGCTCAAAACCGGGGCTATGGAGAACTGCCACCCCAGGCAGACGTAGCACACAAGTATAAATTCGATGAAAGGCATTTCAAATAAATACAATCAACATAATTTTTTTCAGCAAGTAATATATGCTAGAGAAGACAAGCACTTACTTGGACATGGAGGTAGTCTGCAAATCCTTACGGTCTCCGGTTTATTTTCTTTACAAAGGCCGATAGCATTGTCCCTGGTCCGGCACAGGACCGGGCGATCCTGCGTGCCGTTGCCACAGCTGACAGAGCACTGAAAGGAGATGCACCAGTTAGACCCCCAGCCACCCTTTGGAAACAATGGATTAGAAATTAGTTTTTAAATTTTAAACCACTGCCCTTGATTTGAGCTGACATGGTACATTATTTGAACTACCACAGTACCTACAGTAACTAAGCAAGAAGGAGAACCACTGCTTTTTGTGGTATACCAGTAACCGTGAAACACTCCAAGAAAGAGCTTATGGTCTGAGCAATAAAGAAACAACTGTAAATGTGAAGCATCTATTCACAGTGTGCACCAGGGATGGCATTGCTTGTGACATCTATTCAACCCAGTGAGGATAAAAATTGTTTGTGCTTTTTTGCATAGCACAGTTCCAAAACAAAATGTTATATCTCCAAATGCAGCCACGTTTTTTATACAATTTAATGGAGAAATGCTGAGACGAACTGTAAGGATCCCGTGTATCAAAATTATAAGAACAATTTAATGTTGCAATATTCGACTCACATTTCTTGCCTTTTGATGACTGCAAAGGTTTGCAAATATGAATAGGTGGAGCTTCCTATTGCTCTAGTAAATACTTTAGCAAGAAACAGTCTATGCACAGTGGCATTGCACTTCTTGCTCACGCAGTGAGTTAGCCAAAGAGCCAGGGATGGAAAGCACAAAATGCCCAGCTCCTGACACTTGTTCTGGGAGTGACTGAATCCCATTTTGCCCATAGCAATGGCAAACAAAAAAGGTTCATGAATAGGTGCCCTGTATTTCCATAGTAAACTAGGTGAAAAACTCTGTCTGTTGGGTTACAGACAGAACCTTGAGACTGAGCAGCTAAATCTGCTGAAGGCCTTTACATTGAAGATGCTCGCACCTTTGAATCTCCATGAGTGTTGGTGCCTAACTTCCTTAGGTGCCCTTAATCAGTGTCTGAAGACTTTAAAGTCTTCTTTACTTGAAAGAAAATAAAACAGTGATAAAAGAATTAATTGCCCTTCTCTCAGCTTAAGTCAACAGGTAAATGATCGTGAGCAGAATAAAGAGCAGGTAGAAGTCAGCTTTCCTGATGCTGCCATCTTATACAGGTGGCTCACGGGGCCTGGATCATGCAGCATCACCACAGGATGGCTTTACTGGCTGTTTCACTGCAACCATCTCTCTTCATCTAACTCACTTTCTGTGGCATTAGTAGCAGTGGAAGCAACACACCCTCTGCATAGGTTTTAGTTTATTGTGTCAATGCATTTGAATAGAAAGCACCAAACGAACTCCAAGATTTTCTCCCCTGCATTGTAAGAAATTAGTTGCTTGAGACCTCCAGAGAGAGACTGACCTGTGACCAGGGTCCTATTCTCCACTGTGCTGGGCAAAGCTCCCGGTTGCAAGGCCTCCTGCCTTCTGGACGGTCATTGTTGCAGTACTTGGTATGAACAGAGCGATTTGTATTATCATGTAGGGGTTGGATACATCGGACAGATCGTACTTGATATCCTGTTTTCCCACAACTTTTGCTGCAAGGCTCCCATTCTCCTGTAACCCATCTGGGTTAGTGAAAAGAGAGTAAGTTGAGTAAAATTCTCTCTCCCCTAAATTAGGTGAGTTCAAACTGTCTGTTGAACTGTAACTCTTAAACACAGGTTTAACAGGATGTTAATACTAGTTCTGATATGGAAAAAGAAGATGATATGAAAAACCATAAACAGTTATGGCAAGGGTTATTTGACCATGTCCCTGAAAAATCAGTAATAAGACCCAGATCTTTAAAATGACTCTTTCTCATTATCTCTGAGATAAGCATTATTCTTACTTTGCTTCATTGGCTTTGATTTTAAGCTGGCCCTTCCAAGACTGCACATAAAAATCTGGTAGTTTTTATGTCAAAAGCAGACACCCAAGGGTGCTGCTGAGCTTCCCAGGTCTTGGCGCATGAGCTGCGCCTTGTCTCATACTGCAGGGAGACCCAAGCATGCACCACCCATCCCCACAGCTGGTTCCCACAGGAGTGAATCCAAAACATCTGGGCTAGAAAAGCAGCTCCAGCCTGGCCCATATCTGGATACTCCATGGACCACATCCCCAGCCATGCTAGACACCGTCTCACTGAAGCACTGGCAAACCCAGCTCCACCATCAATGCTGTGCGTGCTGAGCTCAGGGGAACTGGAGTCCTCAGCATCATAAATGCTGAGGAAGGCACTGGGGGAAGGCAACACTCCACTGAAAATCAGAAGGTCTGAGTTCATAACGTGTAAATCAATTTGGCCACTGAAAAATGTCACCTATGTTTTGTAACGTGGCGTAGTTGAAAACTTTGCTGATCATCCAAACTGGCTCAAGAATTACACCTACAAATTGTAAGGAACTTAGAGAAGAGCAGACAGGACCAGAGGAAACTTATGTAAACTGCTGAAAGCTTGGTTATAATCAAGTAAGTGAAGATATACAGCAGTCTATAAATATTGACAGAATGCAGAGATCTGCAAGAAGGAAATATTGTTCAATATAAACAGTATTCATGGGATAAACTTAACCAAAAAATAAATATAGTCTGAAGAAATATCCTGAGTTTGAAGCAATTGTCCTAAAGTACTCGTAAAATCCTGGGTTTAGAAATAGTCGAGAAATAGCATGGGCACAAGGCAACGCACTAAACACTCGAGTTAAACAAAAAGTAAAGTGGCAGTTTCACCCACTTTCTCTGATATTGTTCAATATAAACAGTATTCATGGGATAAACTTAACCAAAAAATAAATATAGTCTGAAGAAATATCCTGAGTTTGAAGCAATTGTCCTAAAGTACTCGTAAAATCCTGGGTTTAGAAATAGTCGAGAAATAGCATGGGCACAAGGCAACGCACTAAACACTCGAGTTAAACAAAAAGTAAAGTGGCAGTTTCACTCAACTTTCTCTGTAGCCTGTTGAAATTACACAGCTGTGGAGGAAGGCAAGCGCTGTGGAGCACAAAGCCATGAATCCTAAGGTGATTTCTGAGACAAAGATGATTTTTTCCCAGCAGTGAAGCAGCAGCATATTAGTGTAGTGGGTGTCACAGAGCTTCATAAAATCTCTTAAATAATTGCCTCTCCTATGTACAAGTGCAAAAATGCTCCGATGCTATTCTATGGAAACAGAGGTGACTGAAATATTCAGGAATCCAAGTACAATTTAGGATCCTATTGAGTCTTTGTGGTACCTGGGTCCAATTATAGTTGCAGCTGAAAGAATAATACAGTCCTTTCCAGAGAGCCCGAGATACGGTTAGGTCATTACTTCAGTTTTCCAATAAAAAAATGTTAAACCCTGACCCATGCTGAGTTTATGGGGCACAGTTTCTTGACTTTTCTCTCTTTCAAATCTTTTTTGAAAGGAAGTCAGGAAATATTGTGTGGTATGTTCTACTTATTTGCTGTGCTTCCCGGAATCTAGACTTGGTCCCCAGAGATAAAAGCTGGGATCAACATACTCCTTTCTTGTTGCAGTAGCAACACGAGGAATATGTGAGTCCTACATGTGGCAGGAGTAACCTGCTGCCAGTCGAAAAAAGCACCTGTAAAATGTGAATTAAAATATTTATAACACTTGACTATGCATAGCAAAGGTGAAGGTACAACAGGTACACCATGCTGTACGAGGGCAGCCACAGAAATCTAACAGGCCAAATATTTTTCCCTGTTTTTATATGTCCTTAAACGTGCTGTGAACTTTAGGAAGATTTGGATTTGCGAGGCTGTATGACATTGGTTTTCTTATGTAGCACTCTCTAAATTTGTTCTTATGTGGTTAATCCACACTATGTAAAATCAACTGGTATAAATTGAATTTATGTCTATTTTTTATTACCCCAAGATAGCCTGAACACAAATGTCTGGATCAAGACAGCACTTCTTTTCTAATCCAACTTATTTCAGAAGTAATAGGAACCAGCAGTCCCAGAAATAGTATTTCTACAAGCAGAATATAGCATCACATCCTCACAGTCCTGGGTCTCTGTAATGACGCATGGAGGTGAAGCTTAAGCCACCTTCTTTCAGCTGAGAAGTGCTAGCTGGGTGTAACGCCTACCGCAGCTGCCACCGAGCAGTGCCGGTGGGCAGTGATGCTTACATGGGCTGGGAGCACTCCTGGAGGTTGCACACCCTGCGAATGGGCTTAGGCTTTTGGATCAACTCGCAGTAACTCCGATGAACCATCTTGTGGTCTGTCTTCCTCCGGCAGCCGTATTTTGTGAATTGATAGCCTGAAGAAAGACACTCCTCTTATTTTCAGTACTGGTAGATCTTACACAGGACTCAGGTTTCAAACAAACCGCACATACACTGTCAAAGGTTGCAGTTGGAACTACGGGTGAACACGCTACAAAAAGAACTGTAAATTGCACCGAATAAACACTTATTCATGTAGATTTAGCACCCAGAATTGCTCATCCCCTTTATTCTTCACTACAGGCTATAATGAGAAAAACAGTAACATCTAGCATTTCGAAAACGTTCTGCAAACCTGCACAGCCACATTCAGGGGCTGCAACCTGCCCATCAGCCTGGTGAACAGCATCAGGGTATACATCTGGCCCCAAAAGCAGGGGTCTTCACATTGCAAGGTCCACATCACAGCATGCAGATTTACTAAGGGCTGCCCCGTGGCACCCTGAGGTTTGGCACCCTCACAGCTTGGAGACCCTCATCCAAATCTTGCACATTTGAACAATTTTCAGTTCCATAAACATGAATCAGAAATGAACCACCCCAGATCTGCCCCCAAAACCATTTAAGTCAGACTGTTAACTCCATTTGCTATTTATTTATCTATTTCTTAACTTAAATAAAACCCTCCCGTACTCCTGGTCTCCCTGTCTTGTGGCAATGAATTCCACACATGGTGTTCGTTCTTTCAGTTTTCTCTTAATCGATTTTGAATGCTCTGGGGTTTTGTTTTTACCTCCTCCACAATGTTTTGAACATTGGGACCATTTCTTCAAAGCCCATTCATGTGACACCGAGTCCTCTTCCAAAACATTGTTGTTATCTACATTCAAGGAATCTTCATGGATCATGTACTTGTAAGTCAAAGATACCTTGGCACCACCATGAGGAATCACCTAGTAAGCAAAACAGATGTAGGGAAAAAAGATTTGAAAGACTGATATCAGAAGCTATATGAGATAATGTGGAATAGCAGTCATCATGGCTCAGATATAAAAACATCCCCGGAGGGATTTAAGCCTTTTAGCTGCACTCAACACATTTTTTTTTCCCTGATGAAAAAGTATCTCTACCCTTATGACACAGAGTTTCTAAACTGCATATTAAGAAAGACTGTTGTTGATTTAGACTGATTTTTCTTGCCAGCGTTGGACTGACTTCATGATACTAAATTTTTTCCATATCCCATCATAAAGGAAGGAAATGTTGTACTAAAATGATAATGGATAGTGCCACTAAAAGACAGGGCAAATTCAAACGCACAGATAACTGAAAGCGGTGAAGAAAATTGCTTATATTTCTGATAAAACACAAATACTCTTATGATAATCCCGGGAATTCTGTGAAGCTTGTTACTTAATCCTGACAGAAATATAAACTATTTAGAAAGAGTTTTTGCTATCACACTGCACTGAGACAAATGAAAGAAAATGGAACTCAATGTGAATAAAGTGCAAAATATTGGTCCTTTGAAAACATAATATTTATTCCTCCTTTGACATTCAGCTGGTGTAGATCAATACATTACAGCTGCTTGCGGAGGGATTCTGAATCAACCTACCCCTACTCATTGTAGTTTATCGTTTGCTGGTTTGCAATGAAAAAAGAATATAGTCGGGTGGGTTTGGGAGCGGCAGAACTGGCTGTGCCCTGACAAAGTGAGCCTGGAAGCACAAGAATCCTGCATCTGCCTTTGCAGGATACATTTTCAAAACATGGACGGGAGGAGGAGCTATTACATCTATCTGATACAAACCATTTTGACCTTTTTTTACTAATGCTTACATGTCAGATATGATAAGTAAGCTGGAGAGTCTTTACACAGTGGCCATTTGCTAGGCCATCCACAGGAAATAATCAGGAGAGTTGGTTGCTCAACACACAACCCTGAGTTATAACAACTCTTGTATAGAGCAATGAATTAGGAGAAAGGAATTAAAATACATCTTCTACTGTCTTATAAGACAGTAGATGTCTTGAAGCAGATGTCTTCTCGTAACTCACAAGAGGAATCTAAAATATATTATAGTACATTATGGCTTTGTAACCCTGACATTGTGTTCCGTGGAAGATGGTTTTCATTTGACTTACCAGAATAACTATTCCATTACGCAGCGGCCCCATGGTCTGCACGGTTTCTCTATCATCGTCATTCCGATATTCCCACTCCACACCCATGTCAATAAATACTTTAGAGTCTGGCACATAGTTGTCTTCGCTTAGAATGAATTTCCCCGTTTCACGATTTTTAATTGCTAGGAACAACACAGGAAAAGTGAATACGAGAGGTTCACTTCTCATCTCGAGTTTTGTTCTGCTCTTGTCCCAGTGGAAGAAGCAGAAAAGGCCAGTCTGTATTTTCCCTCTGTTCCCTCACAGGTTTGGAAAGACTTTTTCAGGTGTTTCACTGAACTGCCAACGCTTTCCTGCTCAGCTCCAGAAACATCAATTGTCCTTTTTTTTCTTTTTCATAGCCTGCCTTGCCAGAGAAATGAGGCCAAGCGCGACACACCGCGTGTGTCCATCTGCCTGCTCCCGACTAACAACTTCTGAATCCACTGGCCAAATCTGAGCCAATTTGACAGCTGGTGGGGGTCCCACGGCTACTCAGCTCTTTGACATGTTGTAAGGCAGCTCAGGGGGCTGTTACTGCTCCATGAGGGAAAGGCAACTGAGCTAACCCCCAGTGGGTCCCCACAGTGAGAGAGACGCTAGAAACTGTATTAATAATCCTGCTCAGATCCAGCCCTGACACCAACACAGCCCTGCTTAAGCTCCTGTTGCTTTGCAGGCGCCTGCCATTGCACACAGCGTCTGATTCCTCTGGTTCAGCTGTAATCAATGCCCCATCCTTCCCCTGGAGAGACTTCAGCCACCTTTGTATAAGGACTCTTGGTTTTCTCCCAAGATGGAAAACCTGCAGTCCTCGTTAGAAGCTGGGACTGTTTGTTATTTACCACCCTTCTCTCTCTAGCAGCTACCTGAGCATCCTGCTCCCTCAGCGCTGGCCTCGACAGAGAGCAAGCTGTTCATGTCCCCCGTGTATCGCTTACCCCACACCGAAAGAAAAACCTTGTCTGAACCAGTGAGCGATCGCTCTCCCGATCCACAGGGCCAGGCTGCACTGAGCAGCAAGGGAAATGTTCGCTGGTGAGAAGTTGGGATGACTCACGATACAATTAGCAGGCCATTCGCTGTGAATCTACTTCCAATTAATAACAGCCTACTAGACACTGCTTCGCATTGATTACAGGGCACCGCGAGGAGCGGATTTCAATTACTTTCTAAGCTGCGTGATCGATTGGGCATCCTTGCGTCAATACTGTTAGCAATGGGGCAGAACCTGAAACGGATTTGGATGTGGCTGCAAAATGACTGAGGATGGGAAGCATTAGGTTAGGAGAGATGCACATGAAGATAATGCATTGCACCCCTTAATGTAATTCAGCTCCTCTTTCAGAAGCTTTCACACATGCACATGCCAATGCAGGGATCTTCTGGCTAGGACACCAGGGAATACAGCACAGGGAAATCAAATTGCCAAACAAGTTTCCCTATTTAGCATACTTAAAGGAGGTACGTGGTGTGGGAGGATAACGGGTAAACAAATGCATAAACACATTGTGAGGCTCCAGAGACAAAAATAAACAGCTGAAAAAAATATTCTGACTGAAAATTTTCCTACTTGTTACATACTTACCGAGATTATGACTGGTGGCATCTGTTTCCTGTATAAGCAAATGTCTCGCACCAACAGGAATTTCAAACATCTTAATGTGCCCTTTATTGTAGTATTTGAAAAGATAGTAACTGGTTAGTATGCCACGAACAGGAAGAGTCTGTCTTAGGTTTTTAAATAAATCTTATTTTGTAAAAGCAGGGTGTATTACAGCAAGCTGAACCCAATCCAGCATCATTCCCATCCCTATTTCTATGCCAGGTGATGGAACGTAACAGGGACAAAGGGCTTTGGGTCGGAAGAAAAATGCCTTAAGTATCATTGACAAACTGACTTTGCTTGAGACTAAAACGGGCTTCGAGTGCCATATGCACCCACAGAGAGAGACCATGCAAGCTCCTGTCTGTCAGTGAGTGATGATGACATATTATTGCAGCACTCCAGTGACTTGGACGGAGCAGCTGAGTGACATCAGCAGCACAAATAAGTCCATAGCTCTCCAACACAGAGCACTGAAGCCCTCCTCTATGCATGCATAGGCCCTGATATCAGCAGACTTAACTGACCACTGGACAAAAGTCTCATGACAAAAAGTCATCAAAATTCTAGACACATCTCAAAGTAAAGTCCAGAGAGTTTATTGGAATTAGTGATGCTGTAAATGATTTGTGATTGCTCTGGTACTTTCCATGAAACAGAAGAGATCAAACAAAAATACCCTGAATTCCCCAGGACAAAACACACTGAATGCACTGACCTTGTTTCTTTGGTATTCTTGAAAATGTTCCTTTCACCACTTTGCAGTGGGAATTATCTCCTCCACAAACACCACACTTATCTTCCTGCTTCGTGGAACCTATGACCCTGTCACACCCAACTTTCTGTGCACAAAAGAGAAAAACAGTCATTCTTATTTATCCACGCTTCAATTCAAATGAGCCTTCACTCCACATATCAAAACCCAGATTTCTGCTTCAGCAAAAAAGTATAAATTGTAGTATTTTCCTGCAAGACCAACATCAAAACAGGTTTTAATACTTCCAGTTCTTATAATAGCTGTCAGTCAGGTGATTATATTTTTATATTATGCTTCACAGTGGTCCTCTTACTGAAGGAAAGCAGCACGGTTAAGGAAAAGCTCTTAAGCCTCAGCTTATCTTAAAGCAGATGCCTAAATTCCAGGAGAATCAAAGCATCTATGCGAGGATAAGCACCTCCACCAGTGCTCTGCTAAGTCAGAGCCTCTAATTCTGTTGAAAGATGACCTGTGGCAGATCCCAACTTAGAGGAACTGTCATTGATTTTTTAAAAATAGCATGATCAAATACAGAGAGAATGCACATCAGCCATACCTTAACACCACTTTCCTTGAAAGCTGCTGCACGTTCCTATTTCATTGTACATTCCAGCCCCACTAAACCTCAGCAGGAAAAGCTTTCTTTGAAAGCTAATTGTAATAGTTCATCTTAAAATACTGCATTAAATATTACTTGTGTAGGTAGGCGCTGTTGGAATTGAGTCACATGCAAGGTGATGGCAACTGTGAATACCACACATAATATTGTGACAAAAATCCTAATGAAATCTCCTTATTGCCCAAAGCAGCATTATACTTACTTAAATAGTCATTCTTGGAGGGAAACACTCAAGGTACCATTTTAACTGTTTTCACAATGCTAAGCTCTGAAACAAGCCATCAAAAGCTTACCAAGCAGTCTCCCCGCACACAGATGCTGTAAGCGTCTTTGTAGGAGCAGCGGGTCCCATCGTGTACCATCCTTTTCATATACACCACATCCCCTGTTTCCTTTGATTCACAATAGAGGTGGCACCTTTCCTTAGCTGAAAAATAAAATGACCCAAATTGTGCATCTTCAGCTCTAACAGTTTAGTTGCTGACTTTGTGAACAGCACTTTCAACAGCGTTGGCTCTCTCTTCTTCCTTGCATACATCACAGAACACAATATGGCACCCCATAAATCATCAATGCTTATCCCCTTTCAAAGGCTATGTAATCATTTGGAAACTGCTGAATCATAAAGCACCCATGTGTCATCATTAGGAGACAGTCTTAAAAATAACAGACCATTTACTTCGATGGGGGGGCCTTATTTAAACCTTTGTCGGATGATGCAATCTGGCAGAGGTTTCCGCAGTCTGCTACATGACTACCTGTGAGAGATGCAGGTTTCTGCATCAGTTTCTCCTGCACTGCACTTAAAGCTGAAAAAAGCAAAAGTCATTTTGCCATTTAAAGCAGCTGTTCGACACTGAGTGAATCTGGCATCCAAAATGTCTTCAGAGACAGCTGGGCCATACCGTTTCCTCCTAAACATGAAGTTAATTCTCCCTCGTTGTTGTACTTGCATTTATGATAGTTTAAATCATTAAACAAGCTGAGATGTCAAAGAGAATCAGAAAAGAACCATTTTTTTACTGCTAATACATGCACAAACAGCCAGACAAGCGTACCTCTTTCTCCTAATCTGTTCCAAAGAGCTAAGAACAAAAAATAAAGCTGAAATGACTAGTCAGTGGCTGAATAAAGTTGTATTCCACCAGTGTATTTCATTTTACCCATATCTCTTGCTGTCCCCAGCCCCATAATAGGATTCACTATGCTTTCCTTGGCAGTGAAGAGCAAATGGCCTTTCTGTTAGATGAAACAAATAAAAGATTCTGTTATTTTAACATGATTAAAAGTTGGGACACTTTTCCCACCATTTAAAACAATAACGACCTTTCTGTTAGAGCAGTTCAATTAAAATAAATCTTCACAGGCCCTTTGCGTTCTTCCCCTGTACAGTTCCATGGCCTCTGCCCTCTTTTAATAAAGTCCTTGTTATTGCTGTTGATGTCTTCATGGCCACTGGGTATTGGTACATCAGAGACCTTTGTTACTGCTCCTGAACAATGCAGAGATGTCATGCTAAAAATGTAGGGTCTAGACTATTAAATCAGGTACTTTACTTTTCTTCTGCGGATTCTTAATAGGGGACTATTAAGATCATAATAATCACAGACCTAATGTATCTGCATATATTAGAAACATTAAACTATGCACAAGATACAGACGTGTACACATACATCCCCTGCACATACCATACATTCACTGTACGCGACTAAATGAAAATATCAGAAGGTCTGACTGGGTGCCAACAACTCTGTACAAGGGCTTTATTTTAGAGAGGGTTCTCTTCCCATTGCTCCATGGGAACAGTAAATGTGCAAGTGCCGTTAAATTGGACCCTGTTAATTGCAAAGAATTATTTTCTTTCTATTCACTGGTGTTGGGCATAGTAGAGGTACAGGAGCATGGACGTGACCATATGGCTGTCCATTCCCTGCTCCTCATGCGTTTCCTTCTCATTTAATTGAGGCTGGGAGCTAAGAGCCAATGTCACTACACTGCCCTGGCAGATGCACGGCACAGGGGTATGTGAGCCCAGCGGAGGCTGGGAGATGGGGTGCTCAGGGGGCTTGGAGCAGGAGAGTGGCCGTGGCACAGTGCAGCACCGGGGTGCTCAAGCACACACTGGGGTGTACCCCAGCTTGGAGGCTTTTCTCTGGCCACAGGATGAGATGCTCCTCTCTGTCCCATCACACACACCATGTGTCAGACACATCCAGCTGAGCTGCGTGTCAAGTGTATGGATTTATGTCACTTTTGAGCCATGATTGCATTATCTGCACAAAGTATGTCACTGATATGCCTTACCTTTACAAAAGGGAGTTTTAAATATATTAGAGTTCAAACATAAACCACCCTCTGGCCTTGTTTTCACACAAAAGCTGTTCCCTCTAATAACCCTGCACAGGTAAACGTAACTCTCACCAAGGGGGCTGCAGTTATACCATAGTTATATGGGAAACCAGCGGTGCCCAGTGATCAGTGCTCAGACATCAGTGAGATGGTTTCTGACCCAGAAGCCATTGAATTTAATAGAAAAACATCTGATTAGTTTCAGTGGTCTTTGCAGCAGACTGCTCCAAAGGCTAAAGCAGAAGCAAAGGTCTGCGGGCCACAGCGTTCGTCCCCTGTCCCTGTGCCAGCAAAGCTATTTCATGAAATTAAGCTGTGAGGCTGTGTCTGCGCCTCTGAAAATCCCAGATTGCACAAGATGGCATGAAAAGAACAAGGGAACCCTGAGAACTGTTTGGGAAGAAAGTCAAGCAAATTAATTACAAGGAATTTGCTATTAACTTCTGGCAGAGTATCCTCTCACTGGAATGCAAAATGATTCACCCAAAGTGACCCTTCCGCTCCCCAAGACGGGCGCCCGGCTGAGGACAGCTCGGGTGCCCGCTACCTGCCCCTTGCCAGGCCAGCCCTGCCCTGGAGCACCCGTCATTTGAATGAAGTGACCAGGTTTAAAAACAGTTAGCAGCTCGCACTCCTTGTCAAACAAGTTGAGAATCATTGCCCTCTGCCTTTTTGTTTGGTAAAACCTCTTCTCGGCATGTTTTCAACACAACGTGGCAATAGCACGGCAACAGCCTTCATGGCCCAAATCAACCAGCTGCACTTTCATTGACAGTTAAGCAGAGGCGTTAACAGGAAAAGGAACATTTTTGTTCTAAGAGGTGATCTCTGCTGAGATGCCAGAACATCAGACTGACCGTGCTGGTTCAGACCCAGCACCCGTCCAACCCAACACCTGCCTCTGACAGTGCCAGCAGCGTTTGCAGGAACATGTAAGAACAAACCTGACACTTTTCTCAGAATATTCTCCAAGTTCCTCATAAACTGCAGCTTGGGGACTTCCTAAGTCATGGCTGGAACTTGGTGTTTAATAGCTCTTAATGGATTATAGAACTTTCAAGAATTTCTCTAAATCACTTTTAAAACTTTCTGGCATCCGCAACTTCCTGTGGCAATGAATTCCAGTTTAATTACATGCTGTGTGGAAAAGTACTTCCTCTTATTTCTTTTAAATCTGCCACCTGATAATTTTATTTGATGTTCCCAGGCTTGCGTTATGAGAAACAGTGAATAATCATTCCACGTTCAGTTTCCTCATGCCACTCACAATTCTGTAACTCTATCTTTTTAATATAAATCATCACTTTTTCAGGGCGAAAAGTCCTAGTTTATCTAAACACTTCTTACTCAGAAGTCACTGCTTGTTTTGCTTTATTCAGGCCTTTCTGAGTTCAACTGTGGGTTTTTTAGCAATGGGGGCAGCAGTGAGATGGGCACAACCTGAGCTACATTGGCGGAGTGTTTGAAATGCAGGCACATCATGCAGGTACACAGAGGCAGATCAGTGTTCTCCATCCCTCTCTTGACAGTCACTGAACTGATGTTTTCCTAAAGCTATCCCCAACTCCCATACCTTTCTCTTCAGAGCCCACCTTGTGTACAGACCCATACACACTTACAATTTTTTATCCCCATATCCCTTATTGGCATTTATCAACACCAAACTTCATTTGCCACATTCAGTCACTTAGTGTCACAAGATCCTTCTGCAGCTCTCACTATGGGCCTTCTTATTTTAATTAGTCTGAGTAATTTTGTATCCCGAGCAGATTTCTCACCTCATTCGCTCCCTTTCCCTGCTCTCTGCCACATGTGCTCAGCAGCACCCATGCTCCCAGCACCCATCCTTGTGGGACAACCCCCCCATGCAAGACCATTCCCTTTTATCTCATGATAAGCAGTTTAAAGAGCAGTTATTGGGGAACAGGGTCCAAAACTTTTTGAAAATCCAAGTACATTATATGAATTGGATCACTCATACACTGATACTCACGGATCCCTCCAAACAACTCGTAACAGATTTGTGAGGCGTGATTTCCCTAGAAGAAGTTTCACCCCTCCTTATATAATTTTTACTCGCGTTTGCATCTGATTTTACTTTTCATAGGAAAAAGGGACCACTCACCATCAACATGTTCATAGGGGAGCCAGTGGTGTTTTGTGTTCTGGTACTCAAAGTAAGGATCCCACTGCCGGCACTGCTCCTCTCTGAAATCTTCAAAGTCCTTAGGACAGTCCTGAGTGTTGCACAGCTGGAACTCGTAGCTCGGCCCCACGCACGTGCGGCCTCCGTTGGCAGGACTGCGGGGAGGAGAGAAAGCCATGGTTAGTTTTGCCACTAATGCATGAATCAAGCGTCTGATCAAATCCTCTGAGGAGTAATTTAATTCCCAGTCATGTCAGTAGGCATTTGATGAAGCCAGCGATTTATTTCTGGTATGGAAAATGTTTATTTCCTTTAAAAACCCGCTGTCACTATTTAGCTCTTAAAAAGCAATTTCTGCAAGTAAAGCCTCAAACCACTTGATAAAGGCAAGAATAGCCATTTTCTTGGTGCGGCCCAGGAAAGTACAGCATGAGCAGATGAAGCGACTCATTCACATTCACCCCCTAAGCCAGCAGCAAATCCAGAAACAGAGCCCAGCTCAATGCTGCGTCCCCCAGGCAGACGTGCATCAGATCGCTGTCGGATCTGGCAACACAGTGCTCAGGAGTTGTAGCTGGGTTTGCACCCTCTTCCAGGAACACGGAAAACATTTAAAACAGTACATTAGGCTTCTTCTACATGAAAACAGATTTTACAACTAAAACTGTGCCCACAATTATAAAGGTCACTTTCATGTTGCCAATGTAATAAAGGCCAAAATTAGAACTGGTAAATTTTTTCTTAACAGAACAATTTCCATCAGAAAATGCTGCTTCATAAAACTTGAGTGGTTTTTTTTCATCAATGATAAGGTGATTTTTAACACTAGTCAAGTTCAATCACTTTATCAGCACAAACTGAGAAAGTCAATGTTAAAAATATTCTGTCTGGTAAAATAATTTAATTCTGACAATTGTTTCAGTTCTTGTTGTTAGGATCTCAACGTTTTATGGTACCAGAATATAGCAATAATTGTACATTTCATATCACTTGTACATACCAATCTATATTAAATACACTTCCAGTGTTGCCGAAATTAAGTCATTCTACATTATCTAGATGAGCCATATATAAGTTATCGAAGCAAAACAACTCAATATTATTAAAATTAACTTTGGGGAAGGTTCTGATTTAAGGAGCTTTGTTCCAACTTGGAATGAAAACAGTTTGAAAATATTTTAAGACCTTCTTGTTGAAATATCCAAAAAGGTGGATTAAACAAAAATTTTAAAAAGGTATATGCATTTTTTTAAAAAATCCAGCAAATCATTGCCATTATTTCATACTCACATGTTAAAGCAAGACATATATAGGGCCCTAAGCTTTTACTTATGCTTTATGCAATAGTGTAATAGCACTTTCAAGATCCTTGTAACTGCATAACCAGCTTAATGGATGGATAAACTGAGAAATAAAGATGATTCATGACTTGCTAAGGGCCAAAAGTAGAATTTCTGACAACATACACTACAGGTCGGATTTAAGAAGTGCCACTCAACGTCCTTTACTGCATTACTGCACTAGTAACTTAGCAAGGATTCTCACCATTCATTCGCTCCACATCAGAAAAACATATATGTGTATGTACACTTACTGCGGATTGTCACACTGCCGTGTCCTATACTTCACCCCGGTGCCACAGGTGCGAGAACAAGAGCCAAACTTACTCCATGCCCCCCAGTGTCCATCCTGCTTCAGGATGTCTGGTGTTAGCCAGATGCAGTGACCTTTAAAGCAATGCTAAAAGAGAAAATTAGATGTCAAAATGATTAGATGATTGAATTATATCATATGAGAAGCTGTGGTACAACAGATTTCATTTTAGGCACAAATTCTGGATTATTTTTTTTCAGCTCTCCAGGAGAAAGTAGTGAGACTCTCTGTCAGCCCGTGCCCATGATCACAAACTCACTCTGATTCAAGCCTACCAAGTTTGTTAAGCTGCTCTCAGTATTTCATGCCTTCATCACGTGTCTGCAGCGGTGATTTCAACAGAACTAATACAGATTCATTTAAGGGAAATGGTAGAGTCCCAAATCACGGAGGCTAAATGTAAAATTCCGCCTCTGCCATTGCATGCAGCCACTTCAGGCAGCAATGGCGAGAGCTCCCGCGCAGCACCGTCCTTCCCAGCAGCTCCTAACTCAGCATACATATTCCTGCAATGAATGTCGTCAGCGAAGTGGCATGAAATTAAAGCCAGCTCACATTTTAGACATTACTGCTATTAAATAAAGAACTCTTGCAGTCTCCCTGGAGATCTCATACTAAACCCAACCAAAATACGAGGAACCATTCATTCAGGGAGCAGCCCTGGACAGTCCCACTCTGTGCCATTAATCATGCCCCACTAGGCTTTCTCTTTTCTTTTACCTGATTTTTAATACAGTCATTCTATAGAGGTTGAAATTTGCTACATTCCCCAAACCTGTAAGGTATTTAAGCATTTCTTTAAAAGCCTTCATAGCTTCAGTACTGATACTCTCTACTGTCTCCTCTTGTTAAAGAAACCCGACGATGCCTTTCCACCAATTTCTTCACTCCCTAATCAAAGAATTTTTGCTTAGCTGAAGTCAGGATGAATTCTTCTCAAGGATCACAGATTCTGGCCCTTTCTAGTACTATTTCTGCTTTCATAAAAGTCTACTGATGAAGTGCGGGTGCTGGAAAATATTTCCAGCCCAACAAATGACTTTGCATTAGACTGTCGCAGTTTGTCTGCATTAGCGGTTACTGTCGGGATAAGAGCACTGGCTCAGGCGCACAGATGGCTATAACAACAAGTGCAATCAGTCACTTACTTTCCTTAACATTCAAGTCAACAACAACATTTTACACAGCTTAACAAGCCCTGGAATGCAGGAATTTGGCAGGCAGCACAAGCCGAGCATATGGCTAAATGCATGCTGCCAGCAAAAACAAAATCAGAAGATATATAACAGGAGAGCGTTGTTAAGCATAGAGCGATTAGTGATCTGGAAGACAAATTTTAAACTGATGGCTAATCATTAATAATGCTGATTTTAAAGAGAGAATCATTAATAAAATGGTGACAAGACACAGCTTACCGATTTGCTAATCTGCTCACTGACTAGCTCTTTATTCATATTATTTATTTTGGTGCTGATTTGGTTGGACAAGGAGTAGAAAAGAGAGTAGAAATTAGGTTTCAACTATTTGGTCTCTCTCATGACTTCAAATATTCAAAGTCAAAACCTATGAAATAGATGAGTTACCACAAAGCCAATTATACCAATCCTGCTCCGGAGCTGTAATGGGCAGATTTTTCTTAGCTGTTTGACAGAACAAGAGATAATTCAGCAAAGCACGAAAGAAATGCAAAATGCTAATATGTCCTTTGCTTTCTTCAGTTTTGAAGCTCAGCACTGTACCCTTCAGGGACTCTTTACTTAGGGCTTTAGAGAGGTTTGTTTGAACGAACAGTTTGAGTCGTCGGGCCCTGTGTAGCAATGGGACCATTCAGAGATGCAGGGGAAGCTGGCAATGCACCAGCTTGTCAATACAAATTTCAGCTGGGCTTGGAAGCAGATGAGATGAGACAGCTCCTGATCTGTGCTTGCTTGCACATCCTTTTATCAGGGTTCTTCATTCCTCAGGTGTAAGTTCCACAGCAATCACTGAATCCGTTTCAAGAGCCACGTAGCGTATGTTCATTATGTGATGATCCAGGATCCAGCGCTTGGACTCCGTGGAAGAGAGGGAGAGACATGTGATGTTGTGTTTTCCAATCTCTTTTCCCTGTTTTAGCCAGGAACAGGGGGATATGGGTTTGCAACAACCACTAATAAACACCTATTTGACACTGTGACTGGTCCCTGAACTGGAATGCAAACATGGAAAAGTGTTATTGACTTTGCTGCGTAAAGGGAAGAGCAGCACTGATTCTTACTGGAGAAGGTGGTCATACACCGATTGTTGGGAAGCTGAGGCAGAGCTATTAGGAGACAAGCATTTGTGTACAATGAGTCATCCCCAGCTCTGCCTTTTTGTTTGTGGATTAAAAGAAAGGAGCCTACATAGAACAAAACGATTCACAACTGAGTCTTACTCTTGAGACCGATGCAAGAAAACACATGTGGAGGTAAAACCAGAGATGGAGCAATCTCCAGTGAAATAAAGGAAGCTAGAGCCAACCCTTCCTATCGCTACTATATTAACTACATAATGAGGTGGAAAAGAGCCAGTTTCAACCACTATTCCCTTCATAAACAGGGGGTTTCATTTAAAGAGTGAAGCATATTAAAGCAGTATTTTTTTTTAAATGAGCAAAAGAAAACCCTGGGTAAATGCAAATTATTTTCTTAGTGGAAGACAAGATGACTTCTTGCAGTCTCGCCTATTTTTCTGGCAAACAGGACAGTCCAAAACAAGTGCAATTTCCAGGAGAGGAAGCTTAAATCTCCTGCAGTAAAACATTCCACTGCTGTTTTCAGCAGTTCTTTGAAACAACTGCTGCGGACGCCAAAAAAAGAGCCAGTGTGTTCCTGTGGGCTTAATGCATCGCAAGTTAATTTTTCAAGAAAAGACTTGCAGATCTTCCGTTTTGCCATCTCTGCCTATTTTGTATCAGGCAGCAACTGGCAACTCTCCTATCTCCTCGCTTGACACCCCAGTTATCTATCAGGTAACCCCTCACACTGCATCATGGCTGGTGGCCCTCAGCTCTCCCCGCTCTCCTGAGATCGTATCAGGAGAGGGTTACTTATTTATTTGTATTTCCCATCACACGCAGGCTGGCCTGCTCTGCTCCATCTGTTTGAGAATAATTAGTTGCAAGGCATAAATTGAAAGCTCTAACACTAAAGTGTACCGTGAGCCAGTAAAAGTTTCTTCAGTGGAGAATCAAGCATTCTCACTGTTTCTGTGGTGACTTACACAGCATACACTTACCCATCTGTCTCCTGCCTCCGAGAGAAGCTGAGGTCAGCTTTCTCAGTGGGAAATTATCTGGATTGCTTTGAGTACACAATAGTGTTTTCAGAAACCTCTTTTCTCGGTCCATTTCTCTTCTCAATAATATCTGTTTGTTTCAATATTTAATCATTCCCTTCCTTTCCTGACAGACTAAAAAATCATTCCAAGTTTGACTCAGATCGTCTTATTAGCACGGTGCAAGTGAAGAGAATACCTGCTAGGTTTGTGCTGGATCCTTGGCACATAAGCCAAACCCAAGAGCAACGTCAGCTCGGCTGGCAGGGGTAGGTACCAGGCTTTTACCTCTCTCCCAAGAAAAGAAACAAAGGAGGCTCAGGTGGTGCAAACCTTTGTGTTAGTCACTGCAGCAAGCAGATGGACTCAAGCATGCGATCTCCTTGCATGAATGTCTTCGGGCTGTATTTCTATCCTGTGGAGAGCAGTTAGCTACTTCAGCCGATACGAATGTCTCCCCAGAAGAGTAATAGTTTAAAAAAAAAAATGGAACAACAAAACCTGATGATATATTTCTGAAGGTTGCCTGGCTTCAGAAGCCTGAGGCTAACGGTGGAGCTGACAGAATTGTATACAAGCAAATAAATTATCAGCTGAAAGCATATGTTTTCTTTTAATCCACAGAATGCTATGCAGAGTTAAGCTTTGCACAGTTATGCCTCATCTGCATGGTTTACTACAGCAATTTATGGAGTGTCTTTGACTTCACATTAAGACTGACCCTCCATGTGCTTAACTTTACACACCGGAGTTATTTCATGGAAATTAATGTGACCAATGGTCACATTCTGACACAGAAGTAATTGCAAGTTGCTGCATTATTGAAACGTCACAAAATTGAAAGAATCTTCCGTCTTGCTATTGAAAACTCAATCTAGTTTAAAAAAATCAGGCCGGGAGCAATATAAAATATTCTATTTCCTTTAGGATTCTATCAAAATAGTAGATTTCTTCTCTGGCTGGGAAGCTCCAAGAGAATATTCTATTTTTCTGTCCCTATACCCAGCAAATTGTTAGTTTGCTGCCAATTAACACAATGGTTGTTCAAATGTCTCCATTTGCACAAGGAGACCTATTAGTTTTTGAAATGGCAGAACCCCACTCTTCTGACAACTTATTTCAAATAACCACATGCACAGCAGAGCTTACATACATTTACATATATTTACTTAAATATACATCTATATGTATGCATGCATGCATGCATACACACATATATAGACAGCATTAGAAAGTCTAATCGTCCTTCCATTTCTAAGGGTCAGTGCCTAGGTCCAAGACACAGCCTGGGCGTGCAGAGACACGGCCCTTATCAGCATGCTTGCTGAGAATGTGCTACAGATCTCGCGTCTCCCATAGGTGTTCCTGCCCCTTGATCGTCAGTTAGGAAGGAGGCAGCTGGACTGGATTCTCCTCAATAGCATCTGCTAAGTTTGGGAAAGTGAAGAGACCCATTATCACTTATCTGAACAGCAGGCTTAGGTGAGAACATCTATGCACCATACGCCGTGTTAGTCTCCTGAACATCGCTTTCATTTCTGGCATTCGGTCCCCTCAGCTGCTGCAAAGCCAGGATGTTTCTTTGACGCATCAGCAGTGTTGTGATTGGTTTGAGCTTAAAATAGGCCCTGGGAATTAGTGGTATGAAATCACAAAAACTGCAGCTCTCTAAAGTGGGAAACAAATGGATCTTTTTGAATCAACATCTTTAATTGCTTATGTTTCTGTTCTTTTCTTTTCTGGTGTTATTCCAAAGAAAATAGTGGATCAAGTTTGAAGTTATTTTCCTCTTCCTCATGTGCTGATGAAGTATCATGGGAGATGTATCTTAAAGGAGGCTGCCACACAGCAGCTGAGTCCCAGCTTTGGGCAATGTGTGCATTTAACAGTCCTCATCCTTCCAGGTAAGAGTCTCTGGTATTGTGCAAATTGAAGAAGAGAGTGAACAGGGAAAGGCCAAATCAAAGGCAGGGGTGAAAAGGAAAGGAACAGATGGAAAAGGACTGATCTGATGTGCCTGTATTAAAAACACCAACAACTAATAAATACACCGGTCAAATGCTGAGCTCAGATATACAAAGTCAGTTGTATAACCTTCATAAGTCATGCTATTTTTAAAAAAATGTTTAGCTCAGACTGCTGAGCCTTATCTAACAAAATGGTTTTCATTTTATATCATTTTCTCAGGTTCTCCTGGAAGGTTGCAATAAGTTTATTTATCAAAAAACTGGGACAGCTCCTCTGGGAATAAAACAGTCATAGTCCTATCATCTACTGAAACTTCAGAATGTGCACATACTCTCTTGCATCTCCACTGAACTAAAAAGCCTGGCTGTCTGCACAGTTTGCTGAAGCCTTGGATCCCAAGTTCCAGTCCAGAGAAAATTTTTACAGCTGAGTTGCATAATATCCTGACAAACTGTTTATAATGGAAGCACTGACAGATCCTTAACTGTATGGTTACAAGTTCTTTTTTGCTTCTCATTTCTGTTCAAATACTAATATGAATGAATGGCTTGGGGAAGAGGGTGATGCAATAAAATGGAATATAACTGTATTTTTCAGGGGGTTTCATGAATATTTTTAAGGCAAAAATCAAGATATAGAAAAGTGAATCCAAAGAAACTGTCTAAGATTTTGGATTGTAATTTAAATACTTTTTTTTTTTTAAACAAGAAACAAAACTGTTATAACAGGAATAATCTAAAGAAGAGAAAACCAGAAGGGAGTGGTTTATACAGAGCATGACTTGCTAGGGAATTAACTTAGCATTACGTTATGTTTTCATAAAAAAGACATTTCAAACCATAACAGCAGCTGCTAATACGGTTCGTTTATCGCATAAATGATGTCATCCATTGGGTTTTACAAAACATCTTTCCAAGTAGTGACATCTTCCTCTCCCCCTCAGTCACTGCATCCAAAGCCCAGGGAAGCCACACTTTTTCAGCAGACTTCAAAGGACTTGGAGTTCAGATCTACGAGCACAGCGTGACCTCCACAGAAGGATAACTGAGACCTGGAGCAGGTCCAGCATGGTGGGCTGAGGGGTCGGAGCTGTCTGAGCCCTTGCCACCTCGCACCTTCCCTTCACAGTTCCTCATGCCTCCCTTGACTCTCATCAAGCCAGCAAACCCACCTCTGCAAATCTGCCCTTCTCTCTTCATAGTCCTTCTCTGCAGTCATGTTGGCTCTCTAGCTGGCACTTGACTCCCACATCCATCCTTTCCCTTGGGGCAGCCACAGCAGCCTTAGCTCATCTCCAGGACCTCACTGCTCTCTGCACCCCCTGCCCTGGGGAGGCCAGTCGGCATCACCACGTCACCACTGATACAAACACAACCCCCCCGATCTCACACAAGTCGTGGGCGAGTGGAAATTTCCCCATTTTTGGCTCTGCCGCAAAGACTTGCCAAGAAGCACAGGGTAATCCACAGATACTTCCATGACTTGTGTGAGGATGGGATTTGATGGTCACAGAGCTGCCATGCAGGACACACCAGCCCCGGCCCCTGCCTCCTCCCCTCACGCTGCTCAACAGCCTTACTTGCACTCATGAGTTTGCCCCACATCTTAGTGGACTTTAAGTCCTCAAGATAGGTTCTTCTCGTCTTCCCCCCGATTTTAAGGGGGACATCCCCAACTGCACACAAACACACATGAACGCACCTGAGCATGCGGGTACATGCAGCACCCACTCTCACCTTTCCTGGTGCACACATGGTCCCGTCCAGCGGAGGCCCTTTCTTTGTTTTGCAGAAGTAGGGGTTCTCGGGGTGGCTACACCACAGCTGCTTACAGGGATCAAACGTACGGAACTGAAACACAAGGAAAATCAGAGCGGACGATGCTTTGAGAGAGCTCCCACTGGAAACTGCAATAGAAGCTGCAGCACCGTGGGGTTTTTCCTTTCCTAGCTGTAAAATGCCAGCTGTTATCACTGATTCCCGAGGAACACCGTAATGTCTGTGGATTGAGCATACCTGAGCTTTCATGAAGTGAGATCCCACCGGCATTTGACAGAATAAGGTTGGGCAAAAATAGTTTTACACTAGTGACCAAAGGCAGACTGGGCAAGGGGGAAAACCAGTTCCCCCAGACGGTAAGACACACACTGCCTTTTCTTACAGTTTCTCCAAATGATGCTGCTTCATTTGGCAAACAAAACAAAAAATACTTGAGTACTCATGGGAGAGAGAAACCAGCTGCGCAGACTATAGCTCAGCTGTTGCAATCACCTTCTTAGGAGGATGCGAATTTGAGCTCAGGACCCTGATCCAATCGGCATTTTACCTACAATGCAAGAGCTTGTCTAGGAGAGGATGAGAACTACCCACCACACAACGTACTAAAACATGATGTCTGGACATGCTTTTGGCTATTCTGAACAGAAGAATAGAAAGCCTCCGTCTCCCAGGCTCTGGAGAGTGGCTGTAAGAAAAGACACTCTTTGGCTGGGACATTCTTCCAAGGCATCATCAGTGGGAATTGTCTCAAGACACAATACTACAGCTGATGCTTTAAAGGTTCTCATCCATTATCTAGGGACGCCACTCGGCACACATATTCCTGCAGATGGGAATCAAAGCAGAAATGTTATGTGCTAGCAGCTGCCACACCAGCTGAAAACATCTCTTTCCATTTAATATTTTGCCCTGCTTGAGGAGCTGGAGGTGGGAGGCACAGCCCTGCTGTAGAAAACTCTGCTTTCTGAGGTCAATCCACTGAGAACTGCACTAATCTTGCCTTGCTTTAAATTTAGAGTTTGTCCCTTGTTTTCCTGGTACAAGAGAGCCAGCCATGTCATCAAGAGTCCTTGCAAGTTGCTCTACTCGCTGTCACACTTATTTTCTCATGCTAGGCATCAAAATGCATCACCGTTTCCGTAAAATTGGATCATAAAAGCGTACCGCCACATGTTAGCACTAGAAGATGTGCCACCAAATCCATCTCCTTCACATCTGGGTGGGATTTTTGTAGCAAAATAACTAGCTGCCAGCAATAGGAGGCTCAATAAAGCAGCAAGCTTGTTTCCTTGAAGTCTACAGCTATTTATGAAACTACAGAATAATTATTTCTGTAACCCCAGTTTAAAAAAAAAAAAAAAAAGACAGAGATACTTACAATAACATATTTGTCAACTTTCAGTTGTTATTCCTTGCTCACAGCTAAGTGGGCACAACATCTTTCCTCATGGGCTTCAATACACTGGCCCTATTAAGGGCATTTCAGAGACACTTACAACACTCCTGGATGAGAAATAGCAGAAGCCAAACTTAAGTACTCACAGCTGTGCACATCATGTAGCCCAAACCAAAATCAAAACGGCACTGCTCATTCATGGAGTAGTGAATTCCTGGCAGCTGTGGAAGGGAAGGCCAGTCATGTTCGAAGGGATCATCACGCAGACAATCATAGGAACTGCAACAGGCAAAAATTACAGTAACAGATGGGGCTGTGAGACTTGCACAGTGTTTGTGGTTTCAGTGCCTTTTTGATCCAAACAAAACAGAGCCTACAATTTCTCAGACGCTGGTTGTGAGGAGCAGCTAATATTGCAATTACACTCACATTAACTTTATCATGTTGTATCCACCTTTAATGGATTCTCTATATTTTTTTCTGAAGCCCTTCCATTGTAATTTCCATTTAGCTTGCAGGTAAATTCCTATCAGTCTCCAGGCTCCCGATGTGAAAGGAATCAAAGGAAGAACCCACATGAGACCGAGAAGAAAAGAAAGTTTAATTAATTTTCCATTTGTGGAATTTCTTGCTGCCTGCAATTGTCTTTCAAGTGAAGTTTTAGAAGCAGAAGCGAGGGTAACCATACGAGATTACCACTAAGCTTGCAGTTTTCCTGTGCCCTTGCTGAGGAGCAGCAACTCATTTACAAGCATGTGTACTTTCCTTCCTGCATTAAATGCTCAGGTTTGTTCCCTCCCTCTTTCTCCCGATAGCTCTCAGCTCCATCCATAATTTGTACAAAGTTTCCTTTCTGTGTGATGAATATGGGAGTTTCTCCTCTTGTCGTAAATCGTGAGGACAGCCTGTTACGTACTAGAATCATGTTTGACTAAGTCACGTGGAGAACAGAGGACTGATGCTAGTATCACTGAATGGTTAACATGGTATAATCATTGGTTAATTTACAAGACCGACGTGATCAACAGTATCTCCGAAAAGTCTCCAAGTTATTTAACAGACATGAGGACACCATACACGAGTCTATTCTGGCAATCATTCAGGTTGCCTTGAAGATACCAATAGTTGAAAGCGGAATTTTGAGTTTAGATTTACTTCAAAGCAAACCATTGTTCTGCTTTGTTATAGGATATTTAAAAATAGCTGTATTTAAAAGAATGTAAAGCAGCCCTCTAGGCCAGATGATTTTTATTGAATGGTTAAAGCTCTAAAGGATCTTGCTAACTGAAACAATCACACTTCTCTCACAACATTTTTATTCCTTATTGCCATACCTAAGATATCTAAGATAATAAAAATATTGATAAAAAGACTAACTCATGTTTACTTCATGTATTTTGCTGCATTTTTTTTCCTACTTATTTTCAGGTTTTGCTGGGTATCCTTGTAGTTTCCCCATATTTTTCCACTCAATTTGCATGTAACAACAAGGTAAAGATCTTTTCTATGAGGAGCAAAACCATGGTCATAAACATCAGTTTGTCAGGGAACTCCAGCGCAGGGTCAGGTTCAAAGGGAAGGCAGGGGACATGGATGAAGTTGTTACAAGGACTGGAGAATAAAACGGCTTTTGCATTTAGGGTACTTAAAGGAAAAGTGACAACTAAAGAATTAATTCTAGAACCACGCCTTCTCTTTAGATATCTATTAAAGTCAAAAAAAGCCCTGAGCACTTAAAGGGCAGAATTTCCCCTGTAGGCAGCACTGTCTTATCATTGACAGGTATCACAAGCAACAAATGGCCCTTGAAGCCAGATTTGGTATCTGCAGGATAGACACCACGCTGCTGGGTAGCATAGGCACTCCTCCAGCTAGAGGTTACATTAGGGAGGGAGGAAAGTTAGCAATGAGTTAGTAATAGTGTCTTCTCATAACCCCTGAGAAGACAGCATATATACTATCAATATTCAGAAAATGAACAGACGTAAATGAAATGAGAACAATTTAAAATGGACTGAAATCAAACTAATTGAGAACTTGCATTATTATTTGCAACTGATGGGAAAGCATCTCATTCCCAATAGGATGGGGGGGATTCTTTGTTTGTTTTATTCAACCCCATTTGCGTAACTAACAAAAGGAGAAAGCACAAATGCTAGATGCAGAATTGTTCTTACGTGCTTCCTAATCAAAGGAGAGAGGCTGCTTAACAGCTACTCACTGGAGGTATCGATTCAGCTCTTGCTGGCTGCAACGAGACCAGTGGAAACGATGAAACGCGGCTTGCACAAGGGGGGCCATGATGCTTCCCAGGCGGACTTCATCCCCACATCTGTTCCCTTGGCCATCGTGCTCCATGCCTAAACTGCCCCACACAGGAGAGAGCCAGCACAGTTACATCGCAGGTGAACTCTTGAGTGCCCAAGTGCTTTCACATCCCAAATGACACCAGTGGTTGATTGCAACAAGGTTCTCAAGTCCCATGACCCTTGTCCACATGAGCAAAGTCATGAGAAATAAGACAGGGTGAGACTGAAGCTAAAGAGATAGTCTGTAGTAGCTCTCACATAGAAGCACTGACACTTGAGAGTACTTTCATGTGATTAGCTTAATCCACTTTCAAAACAGACTAAAAATGCCTTCCTTGGACTTCTGTGCACATCCACATTTGTGAATAACTACGGCTAAATTAATCCATTTCTGGATTAAGCATCTAGTCCACCCTCCAAGAGTATTAACAGAAGTTTATTCATACTCCAATCTGGAACTATTCAGGAGTTTATCTAACTTTTTAAAAATCACACCTTAGCTTAATTTGAAGTAATCTGCAATTGTAGACAAGTCCTTTGCATGGAAAAAAAAAAAGATGCCACACTGAAAGCTAGTTTAGACTAGCTGCTGCTATTGCCCAGTAGCAATTCCACATCGTTTAAATGTGAAACAGCCTGGAAAGTGTTGGGTGCTTTCTAGAAAATTACCCCAAGTTACAGATATTTTAAGATTTCTTTTTGGCTTTATTATGAATATATTTTCTCCTTCCCTTTGTTAGGATCTTATATTGCATTTTTTTCTATGAGCACTATTTGACTAACATGGGCGATATCTATCCATAACTTCAACCAAATTAACAGATTGGGGCTGAATGTGATTTCAGGGATTACACACATTCTTCAGTGATATCTCTTTTAAAGCTCACTGTGTATTCTTTCCAATCTTAATTCAAAAATTCTGGAATCAAATACCATCTGGGTATCAATTCTATGTCCCTGTCTAATTAAGATATGTTTACAGTGAGATTCAATAAACTTTGGCAATTTTTTGTTTAAAGCCCTTAACAATTCTGATACAACAAAGAGAAAAGGGCCTGCAGGCTTTCTTACGGAAAACAGAATAGATGGAAACTGTTCAGAAAAAGCCTTCTGGGAACTGTTGTTCTACCAAAGAGAAAATGGGAAATCAGCAGGTGTTCTCTGCAAACAGGGAAACTAAAATGCTCTGGGAGAAACCAAAGCTCTGACAACTGCTGCCCAGTCATTGGTTCTAATCACATCAATAAGTAAAATGATTGCATTTTTTATATGAAATATATAGAACGGTTGTAACCTCAGTACTTGGCACCTTGTTTCTATACAGTATTGTATCCTTTACCAGCAGTAACATATACAGATGATGTGCTTATTTAATATGGATTGTTTTCAAGAATCATGTATTCCACTGACTCAATGAATTCATATTTCATCATTATGAGTACTTTACATTTCCACCAGGAGACTATAACGCATCATTCAATCTACTCTCACAGCAGCCCTGGAAGGTATTTTGGTATTAGTTCCTTTTTCCATTTGAAAATACCAAAATGTAAAGCTAATTTAAGACTATAAGGAAAGCCTTGACAGAGCTGAGATCTGAAGCCAGGGCTAACCCTGAATATTGTTTCTTAACATAAACTGCATCTTTCCAATGTCATGGATATTTGTCAGTACCAAAGACATTATAAGGTAGGACATGGGATGTCCACAGTTTTACTCACACATGTCCAGTTTCATGAGCCACCACAAATGCAGATGAAAAACCATCTTCATGGTTGAGAGTGCAGCTTCGAACAGGATGACACATTCCAGTGACTGGAGCGTAGCCTGTAAGAAATACCCCGTGTTCCAGAAAATGAACAAGTATGAAAAGGCAATGTGGTGAGAAGCTCTAGGACAAACATCTATCTTCTGTTGTGACACAAATATTGAAGTGGTCCTCTCAAGAGAACTCTGTCCCCGAACATTTAATAATGTGCGCCCCCATCTACGAAATAGATGAAAGCAGCCTGTTGAACAAATCAAAACTCTATTCCTGGTTCACCAAGAAAACTGTTGTTATTTCTGGGACCATCCTGCAATTGCCTTCTCCAAGTACATGAGGCAACAGGGGAAAAGGACACCACACGCTGCTGTGTTACAGCTCACGAGGAGCTCGGTGCAGTTCCAGCCCCCAGGGAACGCGTGAGCAAAGCCCCAGCCCTGTGCTGACAGCAGATCTGGCCAACCCAAAAGGAACAGGAAAGCTCTGAGATTTATCCCCTCCAGTGAACAAACCTGATCTCACAGGAGGCAGAGCCTTGAAAAAAGGAAAAAGTGGACAGCGCTTGGCCCTGCTGTTCCACACCTCTGTAACAATATTTCTTGGCAATCCTGCTGGAACATGCCAACAGCTTTGGAGACCTTTTAAACATAAAATCTGTTCTTTAATCTTTGGGCATTTTCAGGACTGTTTACACAGGGATCCCATTTGCTTGGCTTCAGCAAGAGCAAAGAAATGATCCAATAAATAATCCCACCAGTAAGAAAGGATAAAATAATAAGTGAAAGTTACAACTGCAGAGCTCTTGGGGAAAGAAAACGTTGACCAAAACTAAGCAAAAGATACACGATTAATTTGCATAACTAGCCTTGCTAAGTGATAAACACAAATGCTACTCAGAAGTCTTCACATTTACAAAACAAAACATGATGAACATCTTACCTTGCATGCCAGATGGACCAAAATCCTGCCTTGTGAGAAAGATAGCATGGTCGTGATATTCTGCATGCCCAGTGTCAGGTTTCTGTTGCAAGTAGGCCCAGCGACACACATTTTCCAGACTTTGCGAAGGGTTCCCAATCTCTATCAGACTCATAGACTGCATATGTGTAGGAAAAAGAGACACCAATAGTTATTTATTAAAAGCGTCGCAATTTTTTTTCCAACTTGTTCAGGCACTTGAACAAACATTCCATGTCCATTAAATGTCTGTTCTTAATAAAGAGACAATTACATTTCAGAAACAAATTTTACTGGATCAAGAAAGTAAGAAAATAGCTAAAGTTCACAGTTAGATTACATGCAATTTCCATGACACATTCATGAGGTCTAACACATAACAAAAGAAAAAAAAAAGGGGGGGGGGTATTTAATAACAAAACTTGTATTTTATTGTGCACTGTGTATCATTATTTCTATGCCACCCTGGCACCAGCTTGCACCATCACTTCCAGTCTGGATACAGAGTTTCCAGCAGAGCCCGTGCCCCTCTTGGAACTGCAGCGGCTGTTGGCCAGCGCAGGCTAACCCAGCGTGGGGAAAGGTAATGCCTAATGGCCAAGGGAAGCAAATGGCAACAACAGCAGACGGCCAGCACCCAGCCCTGGTTCACTTTTGCCATGAAACCGAGCTGTCGGGGCTGTTTTGTCAGACCTTTGAACACTACTGGATGCTCTGGAAATGTAAAAACTAAGTATAATTTTTTCAGCTGTATTTGAATCATTACGTTCAGAAATGGACTTTACCAATTACTGCCTTTTAAAGTGCATGTTCTTTATCCCATTCCACATCTGAAAATCGTTCTGAAGGTAGCACACATAACTTCCCACTGTGGTACGCCATTCTCCCTATAAACCGCACATTGCACGGGTGGTGCGCCGACACGGCTTAGCCAACTTAAATGAGCTAATGTGTGCTAGGTGCAGTGCAAAGGACCATTCTCTTGAACGAGAAAGGTATCTTAAAATCCAACTACTACATTTGCCTTTTTTCAAAACAGTACTTTCTTAAGAATTCCCAGCTAATTCTGCTTAGTATTGTGCATTGCCAAGACTTAAGAAAGCTTATTGTATGTGGGATGCTATAAAATGTATGACTAATTGACCCATCCCAGGCCTTCCAGGATTTGTAAGAACTACATATGTGAACCCTGGCTTTTCATTTGCAAAAATTAAATTACCATGACAACACTGTAATCATAACACAAACCACTACAATTTAGATGCTATACTGTACTGTAAGCATTTGTCATTCCAAAATACATAATGTAGAGCAAAACCTAGCCTGGGCCAAAAGTAAGAGAGAAGTAATATAGTTCGTGTTTAAATACAGATGTATTTGACGTGTCCTCTAATTGAGTGCATGATGGAGTACACAGAGTGTTGACTACATGAAAAAGAAAATCCTCAAAGGGTTGTGGAAGAACAACCTGGAATTGATAAAAGAAAAGTCTGCCAAACTGAGGTCTGATTTTGGCAAAACTGGGATATTACAATTCTGCAAATGTTCAGAAAAACAAATTAATAAACCAAATAGAGGCACAGTTTGGATTCTGATACCACTGTGGAATGAAAAAGTTGTAATATAATCCCATGCTGGATCATACTGCTTCCAGCCATAATTCCCTTGGAAAATTGAACTAATAACTGTATTAAAATGGTGGGACAGTTGAGGTGCCTTTATTGCATCTTCATATATTTATAAGAGCAGACTTAAACAAACTTCGAGTGACTATTACAGAGTAAAATCCTGGCTCTTCAAGCAAAAATCCTATTCATTTAAACAAGGTTTGACCATTGTTGAGGTCTTTAATAACATCCATCACTGGTAAAACAAAAACAAACAAGCAAACAAACAAAAAACCTATCTATCTACATCATCTCCACCTTGTTCTTATTTCTCCAAAGCTTCACAAAAGAAATCAATCCCTTCAAGGAGCTCAGTGAGAAATCTTACTGCAAGACTCAAAAAGCAAAGAATGCTGTAAAATGAAGTTGAAAAATCTCAAGTCGTGTATCGTTTGCTAATAGTTCGTTGTCTCATAGAGACCTCCTTCTGTACATTCTACCAAATGAAAATCATCACATCTTATAAGATGCATCGATCAAAACAAACAACAAACTTTGAGTAACTATTACAGAGTAAAATCCTGGCTCTTCAAGCAAATTCATTTAAAGTGACTATTACAGAGTAAAATCCTGGCTCTTCAAGCAAAAATCCTATTCATTTAAACAAGGTTTGACCATTGTTGAGGTCTTTAATAACATCCATCACTGGTAAAACAAAAACAAACAAGCAAACAAACAAAAAACCTATCTATCTACATCATCTCCACCTTGTTCTTATTTCTCCAAAGCTTCACAAAAGAAATCAATCCCTTCAAGGAGCTCAGTGAGAAATCTTACTGCAAGACTCAAAAAGCAAAGAATGCTGTAAAATGAAGTTGAAAAATCTCAAGTCGTGTATCGTTTGCTAATAGTTCGTTGTCTCATAATGACCTCCTTCTGTACATTCTACCAAATGAAAATCATCACATCTTATAAGATGCATCGATCAGAAAACAAACAAAAAATACGCACTATCAACATGTGCTTTGTTTAAGGGTATCGAAATATTTGCAAAGAAATCTCTGCATGATCAGCAACCAAGCACAGAATATAAAAAAAGCAATAAATTCTAAATAACCACTGGTTTATAGCTCTCCTCTGTCATATGTCACCTCTTCCCTATCCCCTAAACTGAAACCTTTGCAGCGGACCCCAGCACAAAAGCAAAAGACTAGTCTCTGAATGAACTAACACAGCAGCTTGCAGCACTTCTCTGATGAACATCGAGTCTGCCAGAGACCAGATCAGTCTGCTGCAGCACACCCAGCAGCTCCCATGGTTCGGGCACTGCATTGGCATCTGGCATGAGTGGACAACTGTTTTCACTGTATATCGAAGTCCACTCTGAGAGCAAACCCACTGGTTCAGTCCAAGAGCATCTCAATGCTTATTTATCAAAACAGTGACTTTAGAGTTTGTCTTCAAGCAAACAAAAGGAGAACCAACTGGTTCCACTGATGTGGAGCATTGTGGGGTTTTTTGCATCCAACACAACGGGGAAAGTGAAGAAAATCCCTTCGGCATAAGAGGGGAAACTGAGAACACACAAGTCTATAAAACATGTTTCAGCTGATGGCCTGACTTCTTTGCCAATGACACAATTTTACATCAAAAATGTAGCACGTAAAATTGAGTCTTACTGCTCTTTAAGTTGGGAAACGATGCATCCAGTAGGAAGTCAATTATTTTAAGTGTCCATGTGCTACAGATAGAAATAGCAAGTCGAGGTCCTGTGTCAGTGAGAAGGACTTCCAAAGAGTAAGAGGAAAAACTCAGTCTACCTACCGAGTACTCAAAGTCCACTGAGCACTCAAATCATCTGGTCACTAATCCCTTGTCTTTCTTCACTGTAATGTAGCAGCCTGAAAAGAGAAACCCACTTGATTCCTAGCAAATTTTCACCCGAATTCCCACTTTCTGCAATTTGTCAAGGACTTCCAAATCAGAAAGGCTCCAACAGTACCAACAGTGAATACTGCATGGCCAGGGAACCACCGATCTGGGGTCTGCATAGCAAATTGCTATGCAATTGCACTGGTTCAGACCAAAGAGCTATGTAAGCCACGGTCCTCTCCTGATAGTAGGCAATGGGATGCCCAGGGGAGGGAATTAGAGGAGTGCAAGTATAGTGTAGTATTTGCCTCCAAATAACCTCCAAGGCTCCAGTGGTCTTTGGATCAGAGATTTCCTGAGCCAGACATATCTTTATATTGCATTTTTATTCACTTTTTCAGCTGCCTTGCCTTTAAAGATAAATGCTGCTGTCCTGCAAGAAAGGAGCTTAGGAAATCATGGGACCAGGCACAGCTTGTTACTAGACAGGGCAGATGTAATATGTTTTGGAAGGATGTTGTCCAAAAATTTACTCTTGCAGAGATATCAGATAACACTTGATAATATTTTCTGTTGGAAGTCAGTGGGGAGCTTTCATCAGACTCGGAAAAGCCCTGCCCCTTATTAAATGGACAAAGCGAAAGGAGAAAGAGGAAAAGAGATGAACTGTGTACAGTAATAAGTAAAGGTAAAATCCCTCTTTGTCAGACTTCAAACAGAGAAAGTTTGGGGGCTAGCAGGCTGCATATGGAGAAGAGGTGTAGGTGTTACTGTTGGCCAGCAAAAGGCCCACACTGCCAGGAATATGCAGGTCCTGCAGCTGGCTAGGAGCTCAGACCTGGCTGGGAAGGACCTCTTTCCAAACAGGACAGCAGGCCTGTGGAGAGCATTACTCAGCTGATCAGCAGGAAAACTGCCAATGGAAAGAGAAACTTTCCTTCTCACAGCAAGAAAAGCAAAAAATCTGTGGGCATTTGAGAGAACTGCTGATGGAAACAGATGGAGATGTTGGCCAAGAGGTGGAAAGGCCTCAGCTGGGAGAACATCCCCCATGCGAGGAGACACCACAGAGGGTTTATGAGGACAGTCTGCCCTAGAGAACCAGCCGAGATCCTTGTTCTGGGAAACTCAACATCTACTAATGCCTCCCATTTTCCTTCTTTTTTGATTCTGCCTTCATTTCTTCTCTACTCCGTTCCTTCTTAGATGGAAGCAGCAGAAAAAAACTAAACAAAAATAGAAGACAACTGAGTTGCAACTACCATTTGTACAAAGAGCCAAAGCAGGGCAGTAAGAAATGGCTGAAAGTCGTTACTACATAGATCCAGAGGCCTTTGAGTCTTCTTTACTACCTGTCTTGTCTTTTGGGAAGTTATCAGTGTGATGTTCAGTTCTCTGTTATGAAGACACTGAAGAACAAGAATTTATGAAGCTGACTGGAAGGTCCTTCAAATACTTGTGGAGGTTGTTTGGAAAGTAAGAAATATGTCAATTTTTTTCTTTAACAATTTAAAATACAAAGTTATCTTAGAAGAAAACTGCAAATTTAGTCTATAGTCTACCCAAACTTTTAAAGAAAGTTCAAGTTGCCAGTACATGTGAAAGACACACTGGTATCACACACAGAATGGCAGCTTTCCTTAACCAACTGTTTTATTTA